GAAAAATTCGAAATCCGAATATTTTTGGTGTCTTTTAATTAGCTCGTTGCATTCCTTGGCTCTTTCCGATGAAAATGATGTAGGATTCGAGTTATTTTGAGAAACTTGATTTGTTCCAAAAATCGATCTCTTGGTCCCCCCTTATGAAATTTTCGACCAAAAATCAAAAATTCACAACTGTGTTTTATGCCACCATTGGATTGTTTCCGAGCTAAGAAACTGCCCAATAACGAATATCAAGTTTGTGGGTCCATAATGAGGAAGATATCGTCCGTGAAGAGTGCGACAGCTCAAAAACCGTTCAAAATAGACAGAAAATGTTGATTATTTGGGAAGTGGAAATGCCGCGGTGTCTTTTAATTAGCTCGTTGCATTCCTTGGGTATTTCCGATGAAAATGATGTAGGATTCGAGTTATTTTGAGAAACTTGATTTGTTCCAAAAATCGATCTCTTGGTCCCCCCTTATGAAATTTTCGCCCAAAAATCAAAATTTCACAACCGTGTTTTTTTCTATTCATTTTTGACCTACTTTGAAAATTTTTGACACGCCAAGTTTTTAATACTTCAACCCAGTGGTCTTGTATTTAATGTGAATCGCAGCAAATCAAGTCGTTTGGATTTAAAATATGCAAATTTGACAGTTTATAGTAATTATTGTATTACTGTTCAATTTAGACAAAATGTTTGTGCTCTAAAATCACTGAATTAAAATGGATCGAGAATATTGCAAACCTGCGTAAAAATTTAGTCTCAATTGAACAGTAAGTAACACAATAATTACTATAAATTGTGAAATTTGGCACATTTTAAAACCAGACGACTTGATTTGCTGCGATTGCAATTAAATCCAAGAACACTGGGTTGAGAGTGATAAAAACTGATGGCGCTTTGCTCCTAAACGAAGAGGTTTTTCGATTCGTGTGAATTTTTTGTCTAGTATTTTCTAATCTTTAAAATCGCATATTAATTTTCACGATAGAAAAATGAAATTTGGATTTCAGGTAAACTGCAATTTGGTGGCAAAGGGGAGAAACAACAAAACAAATTTTTATGAGAAAGTTAAAGTTACTAAGATAAAACGTACGCCTGTATACATAACACTACAACAACATGCATCTCGCTTTTATTTTAAACGATACCTATCTGGAGACCTTTCGATTTTGTTCAACATATTTTAAAGGTACCACCTACAAAAACTTCACGATCTATCTAGAACCATTTTGTGTATCTTGCCAATCTCGGTATGTGAGAGCGCTTTCCAACATTGCATTTGTGTTATGTCATTTGTTGTAACCCATTGAAACATTTGGAGCACTTTTGGGTTTAAATCTAGATAGCAGATACGGTCAGTTGGTTGCAACAATTATAATACTGCTAATGTGAATGTACGTACATGGCAGAGATTTTGTGATTTTGCAATGCATCTGAAATACTAGGTTAATTGGACATACGTACAAGGCTGGTTAAATATACCAACGCCCGAAGATATTACATACGCTTGATAAATACCTACATTAAATCTAGCCGTATCTGAGATGCTGAGAAGAAATACACCAACTCCATACACTTTTTCAGCGAGATAAAATACCACAAGAATCAGTAAAAACAACTTAATTCAAACAAGACAGGATTGCAAGTGATAACCTTGTGCAATGGTTTTTAACAATTTGTAACGTGTGGATGGGCCTAACATATTTCCAATTCCACAGATATCTCTCAAAGAACTCGTCAGATAAAAACATACCCGTATACTAGAATGTCAAGGCTTTTAGGAGTGGTAAAAACGAAGAAAACAATGCAGAATACTATTAAGAATTGCAGAATGCATTAAAATACACGTACAAACATGCTTCGCCCAAAAGTGCCCATTTGCATCATCTGTCTTGTGCAGTAGAATCAGACAAATAAATATAAAATGAGAGTGGATGAAGACATTCAATAAATGTTACACAGCAGAATAGGGAAAGATAAATGCTGTCAATGTTCATGTAGTCTAGTGCAAAAGACGATAAAATAATAAATCAGACCGTTGAAGAAGCAATAGCTTCAAAACCCAGTCAACAGTTAATCTCAATACTGGACTTGTGGAACGGAAGTCAGAAGGTTTGCGTATGTGGTTAGCTAGTAGGTCAGTTTATTTCATCAAACTTGATGCTTCATAACTTGAGTTATTTAAACTGGCGGTTATTTCAGGAGATGAAGATGAATCATTTCAAGTTGAGAATTTGCTGATGCTTCTACGCGAGGTACTGTTAAAGTAATTGCTAATTCCTATGTCTTAACGAAACGCGGTTTTTAGCACGTAAAGCGTTAAGTATAACGCTACAGCACGCAGCGGGTCCATAATACCAACGAAGAGTCCGTTATAGAAGCGACCTTGCTGAGAACGACCTATGAATTGTAGCACATAGTCGTCTGAATCAACTACTATGTTGCACACGGTGATTTAAAGGATTTTTGATAAAAATGTATTAGTATTTTGGGAGCACAAAAATAACACTTTATATGAAATGACAACGTAGTGGTCAAATCAAAACATAGAGGAGTGGACAAGGAGGGAGCACAAGAAAAATCCTCTTTTTTTACTCGGAGACCAAGCACGCAAGAAAGTGTTTTCGAATAAATCTTAATCAAGGCTAAATAATTGTTCGTCTACGTCTACAACATTAATTATTTATTGAAAATTGCTGTACTACATTCTTGCATTGAATAGCTGTTTATCTGAGAATACGCCCTATATGTCATCCAATTTATTCATTTTGTTGGTACTATTTGCACTTTTCGTATGTACGGCAGAGCACGCGAATGTGGCACCAACTATGCAGAAAATGCATCTACATCCATGGTACGTGTAATTAGGCGATGTTAAAACGTTTTGCAAAATTACTGAAAAATTATTAACATAGAAATTAAATGCCAGAGTTTCGTGAGTAAGCTTCATCGCTAATGGGGCACGAAAAGAAAGCGTTTGAGGTATACGAGGCGCTGCTTTCTTCGAAAATTTTAAATTTGTGACTAACCCAAAACAATTACGAAATATTCTTGCGCAAATTAAAAATACGAGTTACCTTATCCCCCTACATGATGGAATTAACAGATTCCGTGCAGAACGATTTTCTGGAATACTCTTATATCATATGCTTAATATAAAATTATCGAGTAATTTTTGGGCATTATGCAAGTGGCAAAAACCGCGTGTCGTGTAAAATAAATTTTTTATTCATCGCATGAATTCTTATTAAACTACACGGGCTGCCCTCGATACTTAATAGTGTAACAATGAGAAATACATGACAAAAAGCTGTGTGAGAATTATGCTTCATTCTAATAAAGGTGCATTGAATTTTACCGCACTTTGCAATTACACTTGGTCCGCAAAATGGGTAGCATTGTAAATTGAGAAATCTTAATTTGGCGATTATTCAAGTTCAGCAGTAACATGAATTTGATTTAACCTCAGTACCTGACTTCTTAAAACGTAGGAAAATCTGAGATAATAATTTTTAATTAGACAATAAACGATTGTCGATTAATTGCATAAGAAACTCTATTAAAACAAACAGTCCTGAAGGTTGAACAGTAGCCTTTTCCGGAAAATTAAACAAAAATTCCCAACTATTAAGCCCATGTTAAATGGCATGGGTTTAAAGACAATTTAATGGACTTTATATAAATGATAAACAGACAGGCAACGCGGTATACCTTCCTGAAACTTTCACGATGTCAACATAATATATTGTTAGAATCTTAAATACCGCGGTCGTTACCGTTTGTAGTTTTGACATCAAATTAGGATAATAGAAAACAGCGTAGTTGGCAAAGTTTTCATTTCAAAAGCTGCCAGCTAATAAGAGAAAAAGAAAAGAGAAATTTGCCCAGAAGAAAACAGACTGACCGCAAAACAATAAAATCGTTAAAAAAGATACAATTAAACTAGTTATACTGTCGTTATAAAACACATCGAATACTTATGCGGCTTTATACCAGTCAACCACAAAATACATACTTTTTCTTAAATATTGCCTCGTAATACACTTTTAATAAAGCTTGCAATAAATCTCCAACCAATTTTAAACACTTGAGTAGGTTCCTCCTAAACTATCCTCGTATAAAGGGTGTTTTTTTAGACGTATAGCACTTGAAATTGAAATAAAACTCATAAAATGTATGTTAAGGTCATTATAGCTAAAATATTGTTTGGGCTAGTGATTGATTCTACTAGACCCTAAAAAACACATCAAGCAGTGAATTTTGCTGGACAGAACGGCGTCTGAATAATGGCTAGATTTTGGATTTTCGTCGCTCGAAATTTTGAAACTTATTTCGAAAATCGCTGGTCAGTTCGACAAATTCACGGTGCGCCACGTTCATTTTACGGTCGGCATAATCGTTTTTGGCTCAAATGGTAGCGTAAATAAAGAAAATTGCCGGATTTGTAGTGACGAAAATCCTGAAGCCATTATTGAGACCCCGTTCTATCCAGAAAAGTTCACTGTTTTTTGGTCTTTATGGTCTGGAATAAGTTTGAAAGTGGTCGGAAATTGGACTTGCCAGATTGCTCTTTATTGCAGCTGCGACGCATTATACCCCAAATCTAGCCCTTAGTATAAACATATATGACACTTGGGACCCAAAGATCCATTCCCAAAAATATAAATATAAATTTTCATGGAAAAAAATTCAACCCACTTAGGGAGTGAGTGGAAAAAAGATCAATTCATAGTGACTGGAAAATCGCGATCAAAGCAATCTTACTTGTCTAGAAGTAACCATCAGGACTTTAGGATACTTGCGTCATTTTACCATTATTAAAACATTTTAATTAACAAATATAGCCAAGGCAGCACTTTGCAAAAGTGAATAATAATGAATGGAAACGTATTGCAGCAATCCCTGACAGAACACATTAGTGAAATCGAAGCTTTCCACAGAGAATAAATTAAATAAATACTTGTTTGGTGGTTGAAAAGAAGTAAACAATATCAATGTTTGATTTCAGGATCATATACAGGAAGTTTTGGACAAATGGACTCAAATCGACGACGAAATTTGGGCAAAAGTGATCGTACTGGAACGAAATAGGCGAGTAGCAAAGGCATATGCTCGCGCTCCAGTACTGACCGTCAATGGATCTGATGATGGATTTGATGGTTTCAGGTACGTTAATTAATTAAAATCGTCTTTAATTCCATCACGAAACTATACAAAGGTGAATATTGCCAGTTTTACCAGTTCTAGGATATCGTTATAAACGAAATAGAAGAGATCTTACGGAAAGCGCGAAAAAAAGTTCTTAGCCGTTCGTCTCTAAGAGCCGAAAGTGAAGGTATTCTTTTTTGCTTGGGACCCACTGCAGCGTAATAGTAAACCAATTTATTTGAGTCATTTTTTACAAAAGGCATAGGTTTTTTAGTGTATCGAATTTCTCAGGAGCTAAACTGGTATGTTTAAATCGTGTTATGGCGTTACGAAATGTTAGAAAAGTTGTGGTCTAACAGCCAGGGTTCAGTATTAGATTTTAGTATTTACGTAATATCGCATTTTTATTAAAAAAGTATTCAACCATATTGTTTAAAGCTGAACGGCTATTATTGTCTAACCCATAACAAGCAATGTAACGACAAAACACCAAAGTCGAACCAGTTTTAAATGAGCTCATGTATGACGCGACTAACGCGCTTAAGCCCATTTAATCACATAAATCTTCGTGTTGTACACTATGTTAATTTAGGAACGTGTCAACAGGAGAAAGAAGCTTTTTCCTTGACAAAGCTTTTTCCGGTTAGGAATTTAGTTATTAACTATTTTACTTTAGTTGACGCTGGAGTGATTCAGTTGCGTGGCGTATTTACCTCAATTCGAATATCAACGGTAAAAATAAATGGTCCTTTTTTACAGTTAAATGATAAAAATGCATTCAAGAGATTTGTCCTAAACGTAATTAAAGTTGAACCACCTACTGTTACGTACGCCCGACGTATGAATCAAGCAGTAACTAACATGTTGTCTTTTAAAATCTTAATCCTCACTCAACCGGACACGATCATATTTCATCTTTATTGTAACTAGTAGGTTTTAAAAAGCTTTTGACACGTACAGTTGTTGCGTTTCCCACAACATCATTTTTTTTGTTCAAAAATGGCGGGAGTACTTTTAAATTAACAGCGCTGGAATCTAGATAAGATATTTGCTGGTGGTGTTTTGAAGTTTTAACGGAGAAAAACACGGACGCCTGGGTGCAACCTGACTAATGTGAAGGCATTTTCCATTTGAAAATCCTGCACTGTTCCCAGTGGTTACAAGAAGAGCCCCATTTACCAGATCCACATTTTCACTCAGTTTCTTTTAATTTGTGTTCACTTTAAACGTGTCATGAAAATTGAGGTAATTGCAACGATGTTTAACTACCTAGACAAATCTTCTAAAGTATGACCAGCTTAACTTCAGCGTGCATTAAAGCACGCGTTTTGACAAACAGCCTCAACAAAACTGTTACAATTTCATTATAAACTGCATTGTAGTAAAGCTAATGTTCGCATTGTTGGCTGAGCTGACATCAGGCTAGTTGTTCCTGTTGAAATAATGGTCGACATATCAAGCTTATGATACATACGGGTTGTTATAGGAACAACGCAACACCTCGAAGAGTGGGCCGATATTACGGCTTAACATCTTGATTCGAAGTGTTTTCTTAATTAGGCCCCGTATTGAACATGTCGTCCGTGAAAGTGAAACTTCTCGAACCCGTTCAAACATTTCCCTTTTAAAAGAGTTTAAAAAGCTCCCTTCCAGCTTGCGGTAGAAACAATTTGCATTGAATAGGCATTAAAAGGGCCGAAGTCATTCACTGAAACTTATTGCACCTTCAATGACAATGCATTTACAAAGCATCGGGAGCACATGAAATCATTTTTTTCTTAAAAAAAAACAGTAAACACCTCTGAGGATGTAAAACACTCGTGCGTCCGAAACGTTTTAGGCCGGAAAACCTCACCAGTTTAAAGCATTGGCCGCGAAATCCTAACTCATGAACGCTCATGACCAGGGATCAGAAAAGAACTGAAAATAAGACCAGCAAATTGGCGGAGAATCTCACAAAGCTGGTTTGCATTGAAATTTATTGACCGTTTTCGATTGTTTTCAAGGACCTATAAAGATCGGTCTCAGTACTTTTGCTTTTTCGGCCTTTTTACTTTCGTTGAGTTTATCGGCAGTACGGATGATGCAACATGGTATTAAAAGTTATCGACAATATTTCTGGAAAGGTTTGTTGTTTGATTGGACCGAAGAACTTTTATTGAACTAGACCAAAAAAGCAAAAAGTAGGCCAATTTTTCTCGCCTGAACGGATTTGAGCTGGGTAAATCCTTGGTCCATCAATTTCTTACAAATTTACTTCTTGGTTGCACCGCAAAAACTAGCAAGTTCATGAACGAGGAGTAAAAGTAATTTAAATTTCGATGCTTATTAGACAGGCGTCTTTCGATTTTCAATTTAAATACCTTTAGGCTGAGATTAAATATTTTTTTTTGGATAAAAGCATTTATTGTTGTTAGTTGCCTGCGCATACAAACGTTAAAATAGTTTAAACTATATCAAAACTATTGAACCGTGTATTAGTTATAACATGGCGCAGCAGTTGCTTGGAATATTGCATAAGGCATAGACTGCTTTTGCTTCATACGTTCAAACTGAATACTCGCTCCACTTTTGCTTGGTGTAAAAAATTAAAATTAGAAAATTGGAAAGGCACAATTGCGGGAACAATTTGCCTTCCATTTGACTGGGACCGATGTATTGCAATGCTGGTTTGACTACAGATGTAAATGTTTAAAGCAAATTCTATTATCTGGTTGGAAAAATGGTGGCTATTGTTCCTGAATGCATCGAGATTAGTATTTCGATCCTTTCCTGGCAGTATTCAAAATAACGTAGTGCAGGCAGAGCAACTAACGATTGTTGAATTATTTAAAGTCGATCAACAAAGGCGTATCTAAAAGAGTTAGTGGCAATAGTCACTAATAAAGCAGAATAATTTGATCGGGCAAAATCTAGGCGACCTTGTGAGCATTGCTTTCGTTAGTGCTCGCTTGTGTCCAATCACGATTGAGATCAGATTTCGAAAAACAATGTATTATAAATTTGACTACGAAGCAGTATGCAATGCACTACCTAATCAGCTAGCTGATTACGGCATAGTTATTCAATAAAGACAGTTATAGCCTGTTTTGCTTCTGTACTTGCTTTATAAACATTGCCTGTGTACATAAGGGTGTGTTCGGTTTCCTTCATTTTCTCTGGTTCTAATTATTTCTAGAAATTCTGCAGCTTATCCAGATATGCATTCCCCACCCGTCCTTTAGAAATACAGAGTGTATGTAACAATAATTGCACTATTGTTTTATTAGCAATATGCATATCTAAACAAGCAAAGAATTTTCTCACAAACTAACAGTGACTTACCGTTGGTTATTGTTGCAATTTATGCAATAAAGAGAATGCAAGTAAAACCATTTCGCCTGACATTTCGCATTAAACTTTAATTGTCAATTAACTCATATAAAAAGCGCACATTAAAGAGTTTCTGAAACTAGGTAATAAAGCAGTGTTCCGGTTGAAAATGTGAGTAGTATGGTCTTCATGGTCGCAAGTTTCGCCCATGCAATTTCAATAAAATTTGCGGTGCCCTGTTATGTAGGTCTCTGTTGGCACACAAGAATTGTTACGCACTAATTATCACAACAGAAAACAATATCAAATATCGATTTCGTTGGAATAAATTGCTAACACGAAAAATTATTATTCAAATATGTACGTGTATGTAAAATGGCTAAATGTTGGGCAATCATCAGCCACCACAAGTTGGTTAAAGTAGTCCTGCCAGTGAACACGACGTACCAAACTAAGAAATTTCAGTATTTTCTTAATACCATCAAAATAAAAGAAGGCTTTCACTTTTTCCCACTGAAAGCGAAACGAGATGTGATTGTTGGGAATCCTCGAAAACTACAACCGGTTTGCTAGGGACCTAAATTAATGGAGACCATTGAAAGGCGTACTTTAAATTCAGTTTGTTTTATTTCGCTTATTAGCGAATTTCGGAACCGAAAATTTATATAGGGGCTTTTAACCATAAATACAGATGATCTCACTATCATTAACTAAACCAAATGTGCAACCAACCGAACAGCACATATCGCTCCATGTACAATTGAAGATTTGTCTTTCATTATCCCTGCTAGTTCTTCGCTATTTCAAATGCATTCTATGACGCAATTATGCCAGCCTATAAATTTCAATGCGCCTACTTTTACTGACAACTTGTAAGAAAATCCGCAACGTACCTGCTGTTATTACTAGTTAAACTGGGGCATTGGAATAGGAGAAACCCAACTAGTTTGTGATTTTCATAAACGCTTTTAAGTCAATCTCGATTAGTAGTAGGTAGACTTTTGCTGGAAATAATTCCTAATATTTTTCTCTAACTGTAAAAAGCCGGTTGAATGATGCGAGTAGTAAGAACATAAATATTAATAGCTTGTGTATTTGTGCCTTGCGAGATAACCATCTCAAAGAGCAAACAATGATAAAGTAAAATGCCGACATAAAAGAATTGAAATACGTAGCGGACAAATTGCAAATAAATAAAAATGAACACCAACAAGCGGCCATATAAATGTATTTGTTTAATAAGGTATTATGCAATTATAGTATGTCTTACAATCGGTCATAGTTTTATTTTGCATTTGACAATACACACAAAGCGCGGCTGGCTACTCCATATAAAGTACTGTATGGTACATATATTCTCTAAGCATATCATTGTCATGGATAAATAATTTGTCTTCAGAAAATGAGAGTAAGCCAAAGCAATATGTTGGCTTACGATCACTGAACCAGCTGAAAGTAAAAGTACTGCCTGTGACTTTGTGCAAGCAACAGTATCCTGCTTATAGCGATTGAGATAGATGATAACAAATCGAATATTTGCCATTGTGTGCTTTATCAGTTAAAGTAGTTTAACTATCACAAATTTAAGTGAGATTTACTAGATCCAGCACATCCCAAGCTGTGTTTAACAAAATCATAAATTAGCAACCATCATGCTTAGTTTAGTCGGGTTAATATTTCAATCAATCAATGTTGTCCAAAATTGTTCGTTTAAACTTGAATACTATGAAACACACTGTGATGGTCAATTATTCAAAATATTCTCATATAGCCATGATTTTTAAATCATAGGCTGATTTCTGCTGGTCATTATCAAATAGTAAATTCCAACTCATGTTGTTGCCATATTGCCTGGACACTGAACATAATGAAATTGAAGATACACAAAAGATAAATTAAGTCACAATATGGATCCTAAATACCTATCAGTCAAAAATATTAATTAGATTCCGGTTTTTATCTGTAAAATATCCATTTCGCAAAAGGCCATGAAAAACAATACGGTGGAACAAAGATACAGATGGAGAACTTTATTAAGTGAATCACTAGTAGGTATAAAGTTTCTAATGCGCATAGGTTTTTTACATTTTGTATTTTATTATTCTCAGTTCCCATTCAATTGCGCGAAATTTGTAAAACAAAGTTTCAAGTCTTCTACGGGTAACTAGGTACATAGTCTGCTTCACTTCATTCGGTTACCTATTGGTGAGCTTAGTAAAAATGCAAAGGCAGCTCGCAACGCGGTGAACAGAAGAGTTGACTCCCTTTAAAAGGCTGTTACAGATTTTCAACTTGTACCATCCGAATGGCCTTTTTATCCAATTAAGCTATTTGAATTGGTGATATATCAGTAGCTAAATAGTTACCACGCGGTATTTAAAAAAGGAAGTCCAGGTATCGGTTAAGTGCAAAGCAGACGACCTTGGGTAATTGCCAAGGCGTCTTAAGCGGAACCCACAATATCCTAAATAACATCAACCGACAACTTAACTTGTTTTTATTATTATTACTTTATGGCCTAAATGATCTGTCATTATGCAGAGTATGGACCCATTATTTTCAAATTCCTACAAAGCAAAGTTGAATCGCGGGTTTTTCAGACGAAGGTAGTTAATTAAATATTTTATTGACCGATGAAAAATACATTTAGCGCTTAGGTTCTTTCACCCCTTGGTCCCTATCTTGGCAAAAAGGTCTCATCAATCACTACCAAATATTTGGGCAATTCTTTTATCATCAGCCGTACTTCTTATTGCTAATGGCCATACTCTGCTTAGTTCTGCTTAAATTTGCATCGACCGTCTGATGACTATCTCGTAAAATCGTTGGAATTCTGACATAATTAATAAACAAAACCCAACATGCGTGTATCTGCTTTAGATTGTTACAGATAGTGACATGCCGATTGTGTTTCTGCAAGCGACACTCGGTAGTCAATAGAACTTATATCAGGTTAACGTGACGGCCCAACAATGCCCGGGCATTAGCTAATTACATGAAATTAGGTTTCAAGGCAGTCTGTTCTTTTCTGGATTGCATATGAAGTTCAGTAATAAATAATAAACCAAATTATAATTAGTAATGGCGCTTTTCAAGGTACTCTTGAAGATTATGGGCTGGTGGCTGGTGTTAATTTTTTCCTGCTTTCGCGGAAAATATAACTGACCGGTTTGTTGCTTCACCACATATCACTTGTTTCTTCCTTATTATTATTGATTTGACAAGCTTTACCGGCACACACTGTCATATAATTTTGAGTAGCTGATTTTAGTGTTTTACTTTCCGCAAATTACACCGGTAAAGGCATAAATCTAACGAAGGTAAAATGCAAAAGTGGAACACACTGCAAGAAGTAGATAAATACAAACCGTAATGGCTGTACCTATTATTTTCATATATTCCACTTTTAATCGATAGCTAACAAGATAGTGGGCAAACGTAATAGGCAGCAGATATATAAATCTATTTCTGAAAAAGGGTTATCACCAATACCAAAGTCGTATGCTAAGAGAGTCGACTTTATATGTATGTATGTATATCTAGTAAACCCACAGACTGCACTGAAAAGTCCAATAAAATATCGGGGCTTGATAGATACCGATCTGAAAAAACTATCTTTTAAAACGCCTAATAAATTGTCTAGCCAACTTCAATTGTTGAGCTTGATTTGTATAGTCTACGGTGAAATTTAAAGTAGCTATGCAACTTGTATTATACTGGGTGGATCGCATTGTCGATGCTGCTATTTGGTTTATTTTTAACAATAGAAGGGCACATTAAAATAATTTACAAATTCTTGTCAACAGGACCACACTTGTGCTCTACTCAGATCGAGAACAATTATAAATCAGAACGTGCGCAATTAAGGTTTTTCTATTGTCTTTCAATTAGTCAAGGCATACACCCTGTATAAGTAGTACTGCTTTGCAGTTCATTGTTTCTCAATTACAAGGAATTGAAAAGGTACGATCTGCTTAGGTATCAGTGGGCGTTTAGCAGCCTTGGGTTTTGTACTATACCTGGAATATCGAACTACATGCATGGTATAGATTTTTAAACTGTTTCGGAAATCAGTAGTTTACGCCTTTATTTATTTATATATAATACAATATTTATATTTTTAGACGGTTTATAATGTCACATTTTCTCGGGTTCCAAACATTGTGTAAACCTGTAAAGTTTGTAAAAATTGTTTTGGTAATCTGGCATCTAACACGCGCTGATTTTTTCATATTTATAACAGCTTGAATGACTTGCTTGTGTCGTGGGGGAAATTTTCCCAGCTATGTTTAATTATTTTTTTCCATATTAAAAATATAAATTATGAAAAAATAAAACTAAAAAGTAAACAAGATTATGCAATAGAATTACGTCTTTAAATGTTAAAGAGCAAAATTCCTAACGATCTTCTCGCTTTAGTCCTTGAGAAGCAAATACGAGAACTATCTTACACGGTTCGAAATTGGTTTTCTTGCAATAAATAGTTTTACGTTTGTCTATACGAGGAATACTTGTAACTTTCCACCCATTGATACACAAAGAAAACAGATTAGGTGTTAAGTAGCTGATAGAGCCACTGTATTTCATAGCTAATTTTGTTCCAGAATTGGCTTATGTGGTTTCGATAACCCTATGAGAGACCAAAAGACCGAAGAATTCAAAAGACACATAGGCCACGTAAGTACTTAGTTTTCAAATACTTTAATCATGCCACGGTTGGCGTCTAGTCTTTTCCCCCGCAGACTGAAAAATAAAACGTTGCGTGTTGAATCTGGCTAAATTAAAAGTGGCTTTTAATTATATTTATTAGTATTTGGTTTATATGACGCCAATCAGTGGGCAGTAGTTCTGTAAGATTGGTGTTATAGTTCGTTACTATCTAGCAATTAGCTTGGAAACGTGCGTGGTCAACATCACAGTAACCTTAATTCGTTTTCACAAACCTTCCTTAAAGTTTGAGACCGAAAATATTGAAATTTTCAAAATTTTAACACGAACGCTACAGTCGCATAAAAAATAGCGTTCGGTCATAAAGCGGTTTTTTTGGTAAATATATGGAAATATCCTTATACATATGAAGCAGTCGAGAAAATTCCACATATTCAAATCTGTACATGTTGAGGGTCAAAGGTGGAATGTTATACCTTGAAGCCTTGGAAGCGATATAATTTATAACGTTTTTATTGTAGCGCTAATGAATACTAATACTTAAGGTTTTACGTAAAGGCCTGCTGATGCAAAAGAAAGCAACACTGATTGGCAAATTTAAGTGCTAACAAAAAATCCCGTTGAATCTACACGTTTGAGTTTACTTATTACTTACTCACACATCATTTTCATCAAGCAGCCTTGGTACTCAATATGAAATATTAATTTTTATAGGGTGTGAAAATAAAAATGGACGACGCAGGAAACATCCTCATCAAGAGGGTCTCAAAGTGCAACGTCTACATAAAAAATACTGGGCAAGATGAAGAAAACGCTATAGGAAATGACATTTTGAAAGTTCCAAATAACGCTTTAGACCCAGAGAAACCAGTGAAACTATTCGACATGAAAAAGTTTCAATCGAACGTCAATAGGGAGTTACGGAGAGCGTATCCTGATCGTCGAAGACTGGAATGTCAGTGTCTTAGTGCAATAGCTTTTGTGAAAAATGAACAAGAACTTTTGGAATGTCCAATATGGGTTCTTATAATTAACGTCGTCGCCATGGATATGTTAAAATCAAAATTACCACCAGGTAAGTAACTGTGAATAATCTCGCATAATGGGAGCCTCGTACAAATTATTTTCTATGAACGAAGACATCTCATAAATCACGCTTTATTACAGATAATGCATAATAGTAACTCCGAAGGGCAATTTTTACTGTTCGCGATGTTAAAAAAATATATCAACAAATGCTCGTGGTGGCAGTACGGCGATGAAAAAATTAGGTGTTGCTTTAAACGGCAAGACCATCTTTTGTGCCAAGTGATTTGCGATGAAAATAGATTGGTCACAATACTTCGCACAAGCTCCGATGCATTATGATCTCACAATGCAGCAGTGAGATTTAAGCCTTATTTATTTTAATAAATTGCACTTCGTCAAATTTTTACTTCTTCTTGAATTGGGCATTTATTACGGTCAATGTCAACTTTTTCTCTATAGAAAATCATTAAAGTATCTAGAATCTTTGTCAAATTAGCGTTCTGTAAGTTACTGAAAATGTATGAGTTGAAATTGCGGCAAAAAAGTCCATGCAGAGCAATTAATTCAATCAATATGCAAAATTCCACCTGCCTTAATCGATAAAGCATAAATGGCCTTAAGAACAACAAAAATGACCAAAGTTCACTTTTGCTTGCGTGTATTCGTAATTTAAAGGTTCGGAATTCTGATTAGGCGTTGATAAAGTAAAGCCTACCAAAAGGTTCATTATAATCACAATAAGATTTATCATCTCCCTTTAAAATATGTTACCTTGCTGCAAAAAGTGCTTAATTTCAGTTTTAATGCCAGCAGTTAATTATTAAATTATGATCAGTAGCGGAGTTATCAAGAATGCATTAAATATTCATTGGGCGTTTTAAAAAAGATGCATTTCATTCCTTACCTAGTTCCTAATATAGTTCATCACGCTTATACAGTTTATAACTGGAATTTAAGAAACCGTTTATAATCAGATAATAGAGCTGTTCTCTGGTTCAAGCCGGGAAATCTTGGCGTTTCAATCATACATTACCCAACGGTAAACGAAGAATTCTAAATAGTTCTGCGTAAAAACATACCTTTGTAACATTTAACGCGTTTACGTAAAAAGATACCAAAGATTGCGGATTACAGATTTGGCTACTACTTGGGTATTGTTCTACGCTATAATTTAACCACGAATACAATATGTACGGGAACAGAAAAGAGTTCCCTTGATGTCGAAACATGGTTACCAATTTTGTAAACCTTGAGGTTCAATTGGATGGTTGCAATAAGATTATTTTCTTTCTATGAAAGTACACCGTGCAATGGACATTAAAAACCGCCCAAGAATTCCGATACCTGACGAGGATCCCTACAGCATTGCAGGAAATGGAAGTGGATCATCAGGAAGTTCAGGATTTGCTGGAGGAAGCGTGGCCGCCACAAGAGAGCAGCTTTTGCTCCAAAGCCAACAACATGCCCAAAGACGTGGTGATAAACCACCAAAATTACCACCTAGGGATATGTACCATGATATACCGAAGGTAGGGAGCAGCGACTAACCGAATCCAATTAATATACTCAGTAGGATTACCACATGCACTATACCGCCCTGTATACGATTACATAATTAAATAAAGGAAATATCGCTGCAATTGTGGGTATACCACTAATGAAATATGAACGTATTGACCTGCAAAACGAGTTATATATCTATGAAACGTAAATGAATTTATTAATTGATTTCTGGACGGAGATTGGCCTTATGTAACTTTCGTTTAATACATCCAAAGAACTAGTGTAGATTTGTAAATACTCCTGAGTAGTTTATCGAGTTTTTCCTCGGATGTTTCTCTTGTTGAAAGTGAAATGATTTAGTTATTTCATTTTCACTGCCAGCAAGCAAAAAATGGGAGAGAGTAAAAATACAATAATTAAATTTCACAAATAATTCGATAATCCGAATCTAAGTGAAATCTGGAAATTCGGTCACCGGATCAGTTCGGGCAGAGTTTCAGATTTAATACCTTTAAAAAAATAATTTTCACCATTACCATCAGCTGTCAAAACTGTGTATAATTGGAGGCTTCGAGACCTTCCATCTTAAAAAGCAATTTCAACAACTGTTATTAGGATCGGGGTCATTAAGAGAACGATGCTCAACCACGTCTAGTTGTTAATGATGTGATTGATTTCAGTGCACAAGAATTAAAGTGCATGCGCTCAATTCAATTGAATTTTTTAATTCCAATTGCAATAATCTTGGCATTTGAACAACCGTCTGTTTATTTAACAAAGTGGTTTCAGTTGCCCTCGCAATTTGAAGCTTTATTTAGAGGAAACGCAAATGAGTACTACTCTGTAACTGCAAAATTTCCTTTACAACGTATCTTTGGTACATACCATAAGCAACAATCTAATTCAAATTAGATCATATATATTGTCCAAATGAATTTATCAATTAGAGCAAAGAAAGTCCTTGAAATTGGATCTGTATTGTATTGAAATTGAATCAAGGTAACATGTTGAACAGAACGGTGGGACATTGCGACATGAAACATGGAATAAAAAAATTGTTCGTTACGCAACCCGGAATTGCTTAAGCGCATAAATAAGCTTTTTAAATAATAAAATATTGGTTTTTCAGGTGCCAAATGGTCGAAACGCACTTGAAGGCAAAGAGAATGCGTTGACAAAGCCATTTAATTGGGTCTTAAAATTAACTTAAATAGTCGACGAGAGACGCCCACCCCATTATAATAAACACATAAATATCTGGACGCACTTACTTACTTGGCAGTTGGCGATATTATCTCCCGTTAATTATAGCTACCTAACTGTATAACAACCACCTATTGGCTTTGTTTCGTCTTGTTTAAAGTAGCTTAATTCTAAAAATAGCCTATGCTATACTGCTTTACGAGGACATTCTCCAAAAGCTTTTTTTGTGTTTTAAGCCCTAAGAATCCTTAAATGCACCAAATTGGATTAATTGGAAAATGTCATGATACGACACCTAAAATTGGTTTGCGAGTGGGAAATACAATCGATTGTATATTTTGCTCTTTGCAAGTGAAAGGAAGAAAAGAAATGATACTGCACCGACGAAAAAATTGTATAATGCAATTTGTCGACGTCCTTCAATACACGAGCGATGGAGTACGCAACTCTGAATATGCGGGCTCCGAATAGCCATATTTTAGCAAAAAAAGCAGATTTAGCTACCGAACACGCAATTTTTCCTCAGATCGGTATTTTGCTCATTTTCAGATCTACTACACAAGGCCGTTCAACATATTATTTTGGCGTGTATCTTGAATTGGATGGCCTAGACTAGATAAGTAACTAATGAAGAATGGTCCTTTCTAATGCGGAAACTGAACCTAACAGGGATATTAATTTGGCCGAATTTTTAATATACTACTTGACCTTCCCCCATATGTTTCCGCGCACTATTATGATTTAATAAATAACCGTTACTGTTACATTAATAACAAAAAGTGCTCACGCTGTGATTCAAGGTAGTTCGAGCGCATTTCGTGGCGCTAAATGGGTTTTTATTTTGCCCAATAAATTTGACTTCTTCGTTTACTGATTTATATCCACAAGGCAATTTTCATCAGTAAGTATTTCCTCGCTATAATTAGTAAGAAACTTTGAATGTAAAGCGAAAACATGCATTGCAACCTTATAAAGGCAATTTTAGCAGAGCTAAAACATATCAGCCATTGTTGCGTGGTGTAAAGTGCGAAAATAAAATGGGAATTCAACGAAGTATGAATCGGTCGGTACTGATAAGTTGTACCAATAAAGAACCACCTATCCAAAGGTGCAAACAATTCCTAGACAGCGGAAAAATGCAAATACAAGCTGTGGTAAAGTAAAGAACTAGGGAATAAACAGTACATATCACTTATTGTGGTTGTATACAAAGCTAAATTATTTTGTAGATGGTTCACGATACGAACCTTGTTGGTTACTTGGTTTCGCCTTGTTCTGCCGGCGAAACATTACTTTAACACCCAGCTGGTTTTTTTATCTATAGGGTGAGGTCCAAGCCATGCCGTGTTTGTATCAAGTTTCCAAGTCATTGGTCAATACGTCAATATATCACTGTGGTCTAAGGAATTATTGTATTGATATCATGTATTATGCAAGTCCAAGAATTGCTTAACAATAGATTTGTTTCCTAGCCTGACTACGACGACCAAGAGGAGCAAAATGTAATCAAGTCCTTCCCATCATCGAGAAACAATAAGGAAAAGACGAAGGAAAACAAAAAATACGGTGACTGTCTGAAGATGTTAATTACTTGAAGCCATTACTCATAAGCCGATTTTATTTCTTAGATGATCCTTACTACTGCGGCCTTCGTGCTAGGGTGCCAAACTTCGTAGCAAAATCAAAAGCCAATAAAGAATCGCTGCCGTCCAAGAGATACTCAATCAACCAACAGCAACAACAAATTCTAATGCATCAGCAAATGAACATGAATCACCACCAGATTCATCAACACCCCATGTGGCATGCGAGGAGTTACGAAAGTGGAATAGGTATAAATAGGGATTATGGAAAATTTTCCTTATGAAAAATTTAAATTAATTTCAGATTCCGATGCGATAGAGTCACCCTACAACCAAATATACGGCAGACTACCTATCCCCACACGAAACTACATACCAGCTCAGCCAAGAACAATGTACATAGGCGAATGGGATTAGAATTAAGCAACGCAATTAATAAATTTCAACTTTGAATGTGGTGTCGTCTTGTACATTTTTTTCTTTTTTCTCTATAGGGCAATTTTATTTCCATATCATCCTGCTTTGGGACTTATTTTTAATGACCCATGTTTTAAGGAGGTGCAGTTTTAGCAACGTAACTTCATTTTTTAGTTTCAGCGCTAAAAATTGTAAGGATGTTATTTCTTGTGCACTCTACTTGATCTATTATGTACCTTAAGTCTTTATTCAAACGAATGCAGTGTTGAACATGAAATTAAATATTCACCAGGTACATGTATCTTCATCATGTTCTTTTGCTAGAAAAGTTTTATGAACTTTTATTGATTAAATTGAAGAAATGGAGTCCGGGAACACGCTTGCATTCTGCCTAGTCAGGCACTCTTAACTTTATTTTTTTAATATTTTTGCTACTTACTTATTATAAAATATTTAGTCGTACGTTGTACCTACATATTTAAGTCGACCGTGAGCAAAATGAGAATCGCAATATTAGATTTAAGTTCTCTAGGTATTAAACTAAATTAAAATACTCAATATTATACGTAGTTACATCTTGTCATTTCTCTAATATGGTGCATTATCATATAATTTGCGTATGTTATAGTAACATATATTTCCGAATGATATGTGATTACTCTATTGTAAATTTTATCGCATATTCGAATTATTACATATTTATATGCTAGTTATCTAAATACTTTTGTAAAGTTTGTATATTCTTTTCACGTAGGTATTTCTTAAACTTATACAAATACATGGTGATGGCAAATTAGGTCAGTGTTTCATTTTACCTACGTATGTACCGATATTTTTTCCAAGGTCTTTCCATTCGTCCCCCGCCGTACGAATTGACAGATCTTCAACCAATAGAAACACTCGTACCGTTCGTTTGAGAAGCTCCCCAATGTAGGCATGGATAACTCAGTTAATTTTCAGGAGTTGGCACGGCACCCGCACAGTAACTCACCGGTGCAATTGCGCTTCAGTCACCCATTTGTTAAAATGTTGCTTTTAAAAAATGTGGTGATTTTTTTTTAAGCTGTTGAAATTTCAGCCCCGGGCCTCGTGAAGCTTTAACCCGCCCCTGGGTTAAGGGATAAGCGTAATTAAAAGTGCGGCACAGTAAGACTCGATGAGTTTTAACGAAAAACTCAGAGTTCAAAAAGGTAAAAAAAGTTCAGAGTTGTGCGTTCAGTAAAGAAGAGTGCGCTCTAAATGTCGTCAAAATTCCTTCAAACCTTCAAAAGTTCATTCAAATCGCACGAAATCCTGAATTTTGCGCGGTTCGTAAATGTTGATTTGCGTAGGAGACGTTGTTTTTAATCAAATTTTGTCGCAACTACATTTGCACCTAAATGAATATATTCAAATTCCGTGCGACTTTTTGCGACAAATTCACCAAAGTTTATTTACGCACGTTGTTATAACTGAATCGAGTTAGCAATTCTCTATTCAATAATATACAAACAAACTTTGTGGCTCAAATGGTTCTTGAGCAACGTCAAAAAACCAAACTCAAGTAAGTAAGTAAAATCACTCACCCACTTAAAAATGAAACTGTTTAACCCAGAAACAAACAAAATTTCAACTAATTAAAAATGTCCTTCAAAGCTCTGATTTCAAGAATTATTCCGCCATAAGCGCAATTCGAAGTGCGGCGCAGTGAGGAGCGATGAGTTATAACTCAGCAACTGACAGGGCGGCATCAACGCAAAGGCGCAACTCAACACAGTGTTACCCAGGCCTACCCGAATGTGCACTTATAAAGTGTTCGGGTTTATAATCAGGAAGAGCTCGTTGGTTAAAGAGCAAAAACTGCTCAAAATAGGCCAAAAATGTCGATTATTTCGGACTTGAAACTTCTAACGTGTTTTTTCATCAACTAGTATTATTCGCTTCATTCAGATGAAAATGATTAGGTACCTATAACTCCTAGAGAATACCTAGAGAATTTGAAGAAGCTCCCAACGTGCATTTATAAAGTGTTCGGATTTATTATCGGAAGAACTTGTCTCTGCCTTAGCGTTGTTTGGCTTTTAGGTTAATTGCGACTCTAACCTGTCTTCACCTATGCTTAACTGTAAGCAAAATCGATTTCGTATAACAACATGAGAGTAAGCTTTCAAGTTTTCAGTCAGTAGCAAATAGGAAATGTTGTTAATAAAAGGAAAATTTGTAGGAAATTCAGGACCATAAAGATTTCTCTATATGTTCTTGGTATGGGCCATTTGAGCATATCACCCCCAAAACTGTTATTCTAGAACTGTCTGAGGCTGTTCTCAAGTGTTTTCTGTTCGAAGAGCCCTCTGAAGATGATTCGAGTGAAGATTCAGATGGTGAAGAGACTCCCTTGCCTGGCGAATTTAAAGAGAAGCTGAAAAATGCGTTTAACACTTTGGGCAAGACAGTTTTCGTGAAAAACAATTGGCATGCTCCCATTGTAAGAATTATTGATATGAAACCGACAGTATTGAAAAGCTAATTTTACAGGATGCAAAAATGTTTAGTACTGGGAACACATTAAAGGCAGAAAGCGCCGATGACATAAAGCTGTTTTTTACCACGTCCACGGTTATTCAGAAGGATCTATTCAACATTAAGGGAATTCCTTTTTGCTTGGCTCTCAGGAAATGGATTAGCATACATCCAGCAGCTGAATTTAGGTGCATTGTTGTAAACGACACTCTAAGGGGTAAACGAATAGTTTATTTAGTGTTGAACATCAACTAATGGCTTTCATCCAGGGATCACCTCGAGGGATTGGCCAACTTTTTATGCCCATTTTAAAGAAGAGGGATCTGAAATTGTTGAGAATATTTCAGATTTTTTCCTGGAAAATATCAAGGCCAAGTTTCCCAGGAAGAATTGTAAAGTTCTCAGTTTTTCTTGATTTTACATACGATAAACTAAAACACCGTGTTGCAGATGTGGTTGATATAGTGTTGTCGTATCCGGACAAGCCTTTTATACTTGATTTTGGGCCTTTAAATAGTCGCACCAATTTGTATGCATTTTCTTGGAAAGAAATTGGACCTCTATTAAATAAAGTAAGCTAAGAGTTTATAGTAAGTTTTTCAAACTGGTAGCAGTTAGCATATTGTTGTTTTAGGATTTCCAGGATGAAATAGCCCCTGTTTTCAGGTACCTTGAGTGTGATATCGGAATCATGATCCGAGAAGACGCTCTTAAGAAATTTCGACCGAAGGTCTAAACCTTTCAGTCTATCTGTGGACTAAACTTTCGCGCATTTCCAACTGTATACACATACACATCGTCTTTTTACAAAACGCTTTTATCCATTTACATTATGTGGTTGCCTATCAAGAGCAGCGTGGGAGTGAGTAAGATTCCGTGATAAAATTATTGTTTATTGCTTAATTCCTTTATACACATTGTGCTTTCATTACTACCGAATTGTGACCCATTTCTTTATTAAAAGTTATGATCTTTAACCTGATTTTACTACTGGCCTTTCCCAGTTTCCTTGAAAGTGTGGACATTCCCATACAAATTCACGTTGTAAGTAAAGTTTGCTTAAATAAGTGCGAAAAAGGCAAGGTTAAGTTCATTGTTTTAGTTGTTTAGACATGGAGAACGATCGCCTACCAGTACATTCCCTAACGACCCCCATAAAAACTATAACTGGGAAGGTGGTTTAGGCCAATTAACGAACGTAAGAATTCAATGCACATAAGCCTGGAACTTGCTTTTTACGCAACATCGCTAATGAAACCCATTTATTCCAGAGGGGCAAATTGCAAATGTATTCTTTGGGTCAACACTTAAGGAATTATTATAGCGATTTCCTGCCCAAATATTATTGGCCTGCCGACGTAAACGTATCCAGCAGCCCTGTAGAAAGATGCTTAGTGAGTGCCCAATTTGTGAGTGCGGGCCTTTTTCCGCCCCATGATGGTCTAATTTGGAACCCTGATCTACTCTGGCAGCCTATACCTACACACTATTTACCAAGGGATCAAGATAATGTAAGAATTACTTTTACTTGCTACATATATGAGGTGAGGTTTTTATAGCTGTTGGCAATGAAAAGCAACTGTACAGAATACGATAAAGAGTTTGCTGGAGTGCAGAATTCCACCAAGATGCAGCAGTACAATGAGAAATATCAGGAACTGTACAAGTTTCTTACTGATCATACTGGGAGAACAGTAAATAATATCGAGCACGTAGAGTCGTTGTACAATACTCTGGAAATTTATCAGATGAACAATATGTCTTTGCCTTATTGGGTAAATGATACGCTCATGGCTCAAATGCGGATTATTGGGGCCCAAAACTTAGCAATTTATTCTGAAACCGACTACATGAAACGAATGAAAGGAGGTAACGCATTCAAAGCATTTGATCTAGATCCAGCAAACATATAAAAGTTGTACCTTGCAGGATTTTTTGTAAAAACCGTACTGGACTTGATGGAAAATGCATTGAACAGCAGCGAAAAGGTTCCTTCAACAAATATTTATGCAGCCCACGACTTAACAATTGTTCATGTGATGAGAGCTCTAGGGTTGGTTGATACCTTTAAACCAGAACTAGGAGCCGCACTGATCTTTGAGTATTATAAATCTGGAGAAATTAAGGTAAGTATTCATTTAGACAGCGATTTGTACGGAAAAACTGTAAAATCTGATTTGCAGATCCTCTACTGGGAGAGTTGGGAAGGAGAAATTGAGGAGCGGATATTGGAGAATTGTAAAGTTCCTTGCACAATTCCGCTGTTTCAGAGCGGCTATAAAGACGTATTACCAGTGAATTGGAGCAAAGAATGTCTGACGAAAACTTGAAAACTCATTCGTAGATGTTACGTACCATGGAATTTTCATCTACTCATAAAATAAACATGCATACTTGTTAATAACTGCAGAATTTGAAGTAATTGTGTATCAAAAATAGCAACAAATAACATTTTAGACCAATAAAAGCGACACAAAAAAACTTACCTGATTTTCAATGCACAACACTTCTTTTAAAAAATAATGTGATTTAAGTTGCGAAACAAAATTCAACTGAAACATTTTTCAAGTCAATTTTGACAAAATTATTTAATGCTAAAGCAGAACTTATGCTCCATCTATGAAATAGATTTCTAAATGCGTAAAGAAGAAGAGCGGCTCTTCTATCGAAACCTAGAAAAATTTGAGTACCACAGAACGTTAAAAAAAACTTCCACAGGTCGAGTCTTTTTAAAACGTATCTTTGAGGCGTGGTGGAAAATCTTTCCTGGAACTACATAGTTTCTCACTAAAAAAGTGGGTCTTGAGGCTTAATCTCATTGTTTAATCTAATAAAGGTAATGTTAATTAATAATTTTGCTGAAAATTGAATTTGGGTGTATGCGTCTCTGGTCGACTTCCGATTTTAGCATAGGTATCCCTGTATGATTTAAATTAAATGAACATGAAGCAACAGAATTATTTTGATTTAGTAAAATGAATGCGCTTTCTTTAATTTTACGTTTTTTTGCAGATGGTTCCTTTGCTAAAATTGCAGAATTATTCCATTGAATTTTGTGGCAATTATCAAATGCTTGTTGACAAATATGTGACCTATGATATTTTCTGTTTTTAATGTATGATTGGTGTTCTTTGACTCTTCTGTGTAATGGTCTTGAGGCTCCTTCTTTATAAAATGTATTGCATTCGCAAGAAATTTTATAAATTACATTTTCGGTATTTTCAAGTTTGTCATGAGGTTTTATTACTGGAATTTTGCTTCTAATTGTATTTTCAGTTTTGAAGATATTCCTAATATTAAATTTTTTACCTACTCGTTTAATTTGATCAGACAGTCCTGGAATAAATGGAATAAAATGGTTTGTAATAGGTTTATTTTGATTTTGTTTTGCTTATGGGAATTCAATTTCATTAAAACATTTTCGAATAAAAGAATTATGATAATTATTGAAATTTAAAATTTCTTTTATGAATTGTTTTTCTTTGGAAAAATTAGATTAATTACAAATTGTTTTTGCTCTATCATATAAAATATTCGCAATACCTTTTTTAACATTATCGGGTGATTTGAGTTAAATTAAAATACCGGTTGGTATGAGAAGGTTTCTATAGACCAAGATTTCGAAGTTGCCTAAATTTTTCTGAATTAGTATATCGAGAAAAAGAGTTTGGTGATTTTGATCTTCTTTAATAGTGAATTTAATTGTTGGTTCTTTTTTGTTCAGATAAGATGAAAATTCATTAAGCTTTTGTTCGCCGTGGCTATAAATGGAGAATACGTCACAAATATAACGCCACTAAATTATTGGTTTAAATTTGAAATTATTTATGAAAGTTGATTTAAAATTTTCCATAAAAAATTACTGAAAAAGGGTGAAAGTGGCGACCCCATAGCGATTCCAAAATTTTGTTGATAAAAATTATTATTGCATTGAAAATAAGTTGACTCTACACATATTGTTAAAAATTCAATAATGATGATAATGCTTAGGTGTGTGCGTTCTTTAAGATTCGTCATTTTCAAATTTTTGCTCGATGATATTTTTGAATATATATAATATAATCTATATTATAATATAAATATTTCAACCAAAAATTAGAAAATGACCTCAATCTTAAAGAACGCACACAACTAAGCATTAACACCATTATTGAACTTTTAACCATGTGTGTAAAGGCAACTTATTTTCAATACACTGATAATTTTTATCAACAAAATTTTGGAATAGCCATGTCGTCGCCACTACCACCTTTTTTCAGTAATTTATTTATGGAAAATTTGAAATCAACTTTCATAAATAATTGCAAATTTACACCAATAATTTGGTGTCGTTATAGTGATGATATATTCTCCATTTATAGCCACGGCGAACAAAAGCTTAATTAATTTTTATCTTATCTAAACAAAAAAGAACCAACAATTAAATTCACTATTGAAGAAGATCAAAATCACCAAACTCTTTTTCTCGATATACTAATTCAGAAAAATGTAGGCAATTTCGAAATCTTGGTGTATAAAAAACCTACTCATACCAACCGGTATTTGAATTTTAACTCAAATCACCCGATAATGGTAATAAAAGATATGGTGAAAAGTTTCTATGATAGAGCAAAAATAATTTGAAATCAATCTAATTTTTCCAAAGAAAAACAATTCATAAAAGAAATTATAAATTTCAATAATTATTCAAATTCTTTTATTGGAAAATATTTTAACGAAATTAAATTCCCACAAGCAAAACAAAATCCAAATAAACTTATTAGAAACTTTTTACTCCATTTATTCCAGGACTTTCAGATTAAATTAAACGAGTAGGTAAAAAAATTAAAATTAGGACTATTTTCAAAACTGAAAATACAATTAAATGCAACATTTCAGTAACAAAACCTCATGACAAAATAGAAAATATAAAAAATGTAATTTGTAAAATTTATTTCGAATGCAATAAATTTTATATAGGAGAAACCTCAAGACCATTACACAGAAGAATCAACGAACACCAATCATACGTAAAAAACAGAGAATATCATGTATCACATATTTGTCAACATGCATTTGATAAGTGCAACAAAATTCAATGGAATAATTCTGTAATTTTATCAAAGAAACCATCTGCAAAAAAACGAAAATTAAAGAAAGCGCAGTTGTTTCACTAAATCAAAATCATTGTGTTGCTTCATGTTCATTTAATTTAAGTCATACATGGTTTCCTATGCTAAAATCTGATGTAGACCAAAGAAACATACACCCAAATTAAATTTACACCAAAATTATTAATTAACATTACCTTTATTAGATTAAACAATCAGATTAAGTCAAAGTCACATAAGTGACAATTTGCACAGATGAATTATCAGAGCGAATTTTCATATATTGTATTATCCTACTATTGTTACACAATTTATTAACATACTCTTTCTTAGGTTCATGTAGGTTCTTTTGATAACGATAGCAGAAAATAGCTAACGAAACTAATTTTTCAAATTAATTTCTTTACTAATTGGAATTTTCTCTTACAACTTGAGCCTAAGTGTGTCGCAGGAAACCATCTAGGTGATAGTTCTTGATTTCTTTTTGATAAATAATTCGTTATTATTGCGAAATAAGAACGCTACTTCTCAATCTGTAATCAAAGACGTGAGGAAATTCTGTCTTTTTTAAAAACAAAGATTTTTGGGACGAAATACCCAACATGCGGATTGCAAACAAACATTTGCCTAAATTTTCAAATTTGGAAAAAAAAACACAGCCCGAAATCTAAATGGTGTGCCCAGGATCACACGCAACGTTTTGCTGGCTAAAAAAAAATTGAAAAACAGCTCAAAATCTAAATAGGTTGGCCAGGATCACTCACGGTAAAAGTAATACTAAACTTACCGAAAGCTGCTAATAATGCTTAGCTGCTTCTTGGAAACTTGCGCTCCGTTCTCCATTGTCTATCCATTAAACTTCAAAAAACACACACTACACGAACACACAATGAGAATCCACATAAAGTTGAAAATAAATTTGGATTACACTCAGCAATTAACCGGTAAGATGATCGACCATTCGTGCCTAAATGGCACTAAATTGGTACTTTTATCCCGTTTATCAACAAAGAACCGCCGACCGACTTAACCCCTTGCCCATAATAGACTGAGCTAAATGTTCAGCTTTCGGATAAAACTTCTGCGAAATTATGGTGTTTATCACATAAAAACGCACCGAGGTACAGAACTTAGATAATTATATAATCGTTTTGCTCGCTGGCCCTTTGGGTGACTCATTGTATTGCTATGCTGTTCGAGTTCAGTTTTTTTCTTATTGACGATTTTCTACAAGTTTCCAGTCCGCGATCTATCTCGTTTGGAAATTTAGCGTAAACAAAGTTGCTTTTTCGGGTAAAGATAAGCAAACATCGCCGAGCATGGGGTGATTTTTGAATGCTAAATTAAATACTCGCTCTCCGATCAATCGTTTGCTCAATTGTCAGGAATCGTGAAAACCTTTTTAGCGTGATCTATTGTGAGAGGCTGCACAGGTTCTAGCAGATCCAGCAGAATCAAAGTAACCCATTCGCAAAATATGCCATGATTTGTGAATGCTACTCTTTGATTGCACTATTAGAGCGACGGAAAATTCGCACTCTTACGCAACGGTACGCTTTTCTTAAAAAATTTATAACTTCCCATTTAGAGCAAGTAGCAACTTGAAACTTTTACACGCTATAGAAGACTCATGTGGTCAACTGCGCTGAAATTTCCACTTCAATCGCACTAAAGTCCGATTTTTGCCAACTGTTTGAAAAATGGGTCAAACATTCGCATTGAAGATGTGGTCGCAACAGAACACCCCTATTTTACATAGTAAAGCTGTCCACTGCAGCAACTACTGTTGGATAAAGTCCACTCAAATGGCCTATCCAGATTGAAGACTCAATATAGTTTAAAAAAATGATTAAATGGCAGATCCATATTCAGCCCAGCTCATGATTTGTCATCGCTTTCTTCTGCTCGCAGCATTAAAGCGATGGAAAACTCAACTTTATTACTGTTGAAATTTGGATTTTTTGGACTTTTTAAGCGGTCTTCAACCAAAACGAGGATCACAGAATATCCCCCCATCCCATCCTAGGGGGATGTTCTGTGACGAGAAGCGAAAAAAAAAGGTGATCCGATCGCCAATCGGAATGCAATGTAGCCAATTTGTTGACAAATAGTGTAACAGACAATACTAATATTTAAATATAAAAAGTTTTTAACGTGTTTAGCAGTAGATCTTAATGGCTTAGCGGTAGGTCACGAAAATGGCAGACCTACCGTAAAAACGGTAAACCTGGCAAGCCTGCACATAACTTCTTCGGTCAGCTGAGCAACGCATTAACAGCGCGCTCATGGACTGGGCGTTTATTTTGATGCATTTACGTGAGTACCTCCGGGGAACTTTTGGATTGCCGATTGCCTAAAATCGGTGAGAGCAAATTCACCTGGTCTAGACCAGGCGAGTGACAATTCACAAATGTGAGAAACTCACCATCATGCAGAAATACAAAACTGACTAAATCAAGAGTTTGATAATATGTGATCAGAATATGAGAAACAGATTAATATGGCTTGTGAATATCGAATTTGCTCTCCTAGGCAATCAGCAATACAAAAATTCCCCGGGAGCGTTTAAGTAAACGCATGAAAATAAACGCCCTGGACACAGTTTCTCCAAGTTGACAACATCAGTGACAGTGTGATCCATTCCAACAATTTTTTAGTGAATGTGCCCAATAATAGTGAAATTGGAGGGCTGATACAGTTATAATTTTTTAAATAGGTTTCAGTTCAATTCTTCCACGTCCACAACAATTTGCGAGTTGGACGTAACAGTAAGTTCTGTGTTATTTTCACTTATATTTAGTGACTGTCAAACCGCTATCAATAAGGGGGAGGTTCTCGTTAAGATAGTTTAGTTCCTAGTATATTGATAAACTACAAGGTGTATAGCGGAGCACTGCAACTTTTAGATCTTCTGAGCTTAGTCTGTAGGCTTACAGAAGAACCATGCCAGCCGTGCGAGGTGATGGCATGCGAGGCTTGGCAGTTTTCATATCTGACATCAGAAACTGTACGTATCCCCCAAAGTTGGACCTTATAACATACAGCTCTATATTCATAAGAAAGGCAGCTATAAGCACTGAAAAATCCATAAAACACACATAATTAAACTTGCTTAAATAACCTGCCATAATGCGGTTATCAAAGTTTAAGGATTTATGACTTTTAGGTAAGAGCAAGGAGGCTGAAATTAAAAGAATCAACAAAGAATTAGCTAATATACGCAGCAAATTTAAAGGAGATAAAACCCTAGATGGGTATCAGAAGAAAAAATATGTTTGCAAGCTGCTCTTTATATTCCTTTTGGGGCATGATATCGACTTTGGACACATGGAAGCTGTTAATCTATTGTCCTCAAACAAATACTCCGAAAAACAAATAGTAAGACTCCCAGTACAATAATTTTCGATTTCTCGATAAGTACAAAATCGTCCTCGATGTATACTCAAATCATCCCATACACAAATTCGTATTCAAAAAGGCAACACTTGTGAAAAATAACTACATATTATATATGCTTTAGTATGTAACATTTCAATAGCTTCTCACAAATATTACAATAATTTTATTAATTGCCCCAAACATTTCTTTGCCTTAAAAAACTTAAATTTTCATTAGTGGCATCCATAGAAATACTAAAGCTATGCAACCGGTTTTATTGCAAATGCATCAAAATGTGTAAATACGCCCGCAAATTTAATAATTGGCAAATAAATATCTTTCTGATATTTTATTGTAGTTGAATATACCGCATTGTTTAGATCTTGACCTTTAAGTAGCCTGAATACTTGACTTGTAATTCATTTGAGTCTGATGCTGTAATCCTAGATTTAATATTGGAAATTTTGGTTTAATATTGAGAAGTTTGCAAATTTTATATTCGCCATAGCTTGCTAATAAGAATATGCTTAATTGGGTCAGAAGTAATCTATGAGTCATTTTAATTGAAAAACTCCAATAAAGATCAATTATTTCAACCACGCCAACTCCAAGCCCACAAATGAGAGCAATGTGAGTAGAGTTTTATGCTTTCCAGGGTTATCTTTTTATATCGGTACTAGTAAATACAAACAGTGAACTAATCAAGCTCATCATCCAAAGCATAAAAAACGACCTTGCGTCTAGAAATCCAATTCACGTGAATTTAGCTCTACAATGTATTGCAAATATTGGAAGCCGAGAAATGGCTGAGGCTTTTGGCAATGATATTCCAAAACTATTAGTTTCTGGGTTAGTATGTGGGCATTTATATGAAGCCAAAATAAACTTGAAAATATTTCAGTGATACGATGGATGTTGTGAAACAAAGCGCTGCGTTGTGTCTATTGAGACTTTTCCGAACCTCACAGGAAATTATTCCTGGTGGGGAATGGACTTCACGAATTATTCATTTACTCAATGATCAACATATGGGCGTAGTAACAGCAGCGACAAGTCTTATTGATGCTTTAGTAAAAAAGAACCCTGAAGAATACAAGGGTTGCGTTTCTTTAGCGGTGTCGAGGCTGAGCAGAGTAGGTTTACTGTTTGAATGGAAACAATAAGGTCTATTTTTGGTATTTTCCTAGATTGTAACAGCTAGCTATACAGACTTGCAAGACTACACTTATTATTTTGTCCCAGCACCATGGCTCTCTGTGAAATTACTCCGTCTGTTGCAAAACTATACCCCTCCAGGTAACATTACACCATTTTCTGGGTGGATATGTAGATTCAACGTATTTTTTCGCAGCTGAAGATCCGGGGGTTCGAGGCCGACTAAATGAATGCTTGGAAACCATTTTAAATAAAGCTCAAGAAGCGCCCAAGTCAAAGAAAGTTCAGCATTCTAATGCGAAAAACGCGGTTTTGTTTGAGGCAATCAGTCTCATTATTCATAATGATAGGTAAACGAGTTATTCATATAGGCCATATTTTTGATTTGTCACGAAACAACCTTAACGTGGTTTTCAGTGAAGCCAATTTGTTGGTGCGAGCTTGTAATCAGCTTGGTCAGTTCCTGAGCAATAGAGAGACTAATTTGAGATATTTAGCTCTAGAGTCTATGTGCCACTTAGCCACCTCAGAATTTTCACACGAAGCTGTTAAAAAACACCAAGAAGTTGTTATTTTATCAATGAAAATGGAAAAAGATGTTTCGGTAAGGCAGCAAGCCGTCGATTTGCTTTATGCAATGTGCGATAAAAGCAACGCGGAAGAAATTGTTCAAGAAATGTTAAATTACCTGGAAACCGCTGACTATTCTATCAGAGAAGAGATGGTGTTGAAAGTTGCCATATTGGCAGAGAAATATGCAACAGACTACACTTGGTATGTTGATGTTATTTTGAATCTAATAAGAATAGCTGGAGACTATGTTTCGGAAGAAGTGTGGTACAGAGTTATCCAGATTGTAATCAACCGAGACGAGGTGCAAGGCTATGCAGCAAAAACCGTCTTTGAAGCATTACAAGCTCCGGCATGTCACGAGAACATGGTTAAAGTTGGCGGATACATCCTTGGGGAATTTGGCAACTTAATAGCCGGCGACCAAAGATCGTCTCCGTCAGTTCAATTCCAGCTTCTTCATTCGAAATACCATCTTTGCTCTCCCATGACAAGAGCACTGCTTCTCTCTACCTACATTAAATTTATCAATTTATTCCCTGAGATCAAAACGCAAATCCAGGATGTATTTAAACAAGATAGCAACTTACGCTCGGCCGACGCCGAACTGCAGCAAAGAGCTTCGGAATATCTACAACTTAGCGTTATAGCTAGCTCCGATGTGCTGGCCACAGTCCTAGAGGAAATGCCTGCATTTCCGGAAAGGGAAAGCTCTATTTTGGCAGTACTCAAAAAGAAAAAGCCGGGCCGAGTTCCCGAGAACGAGGTCAAAGAAAGCAAAAGTCCCACTCCAGTTGCAACTTCAAATCATAATAACGACATTAACGCAAGGTGAGCTTGGACGTTTAGTGCTTTTGAAACCCATATTCAGAGGTACGTCTTTTTCTCTTTAGCAGCACCAATCAAGCTGATTTGTTGGGTCTTTCGACGCCTCCAACTTCACAACCCCATAATGCAAGCAGCACTGGTGTTCTTCTGGACGTGCTGGGCGATATTTATAGTAAACCAAACAACAATGTTTCAGCACAAAACTCCTCTTGGGTAATCGATCCCAAAAAGTAAGTGATTGGATTTTCGGGTTCGACATTATTATGTGAAGGATTTTAATGCGGGAAATCTACCTTTTCTATATAGGTTCGTTTGTAAAAACAACGGCGTTCTATTTGAGAACAATCTCATCCAAATCGGGGTAAAAAGCGAATTTCGTCAAAACCTAGGCAGATTAGGTTTGTTTTACGGTAACAAAACCACCACTCCTCTGCAAACGTTCGTGCCTACTCTTTTGTGGGGCGACGATCAAGCCGCTAAACTCAGTGTTCAAATGAAGTCTGTTGAACCGCTCTTAGAAGCTGGCGCTCAAATTCAACAAATGATCAATGCTGAATGTATTGATGATTATACCGGTTAGTCACACATCAGTTTCACATATCCAGTAGAATCTACAAGAGTAAAACTATGCATGCATTATCAGCTACATTTTTCTCTTAGATTCGCCAAGTATTTCATTGAGCTTCGTTTATAACTCGGTACCCCAGAAGATCACGATCAAGCTTCCATTGACACTAAATAAGTTTTTCGAACCAACAGAGATGAATGGAGAGTCTTTCTTTGCGCGATGGAAGAATTTGGGGAAGTACGTTTCGTTCTTGGAACATTTTTCGCAATTCGACAATGTTTGGCATTTTTCAGCACCAACCAACAGAGGTCTCAAAAAATCTTCAAAGCTTCTCAAGCAATGGATCTTCAAGCCGCACGAACAAAGATGCTTGGATTCGGCATGCAGCTTTTGGACGGAATTGATCCCAATCCCGACAACTTTGTATGTGCAGGAATTATCCACATGAGGTCCCAACAAGTTGGCTGCTTACTCCGTTTGGAACCAAACAAAAATGCTCAGGTAAGTTCATTTTATTTATGAGATGCATGTTTCATCGTTTTGATGACATTGTAAATTTGCAGATGTATCGTTTGACCGTGCGCTCAAGCAAGGAAAGCGTATCAGTAGAAATTTGCGAGCTTCTAGCTGATCAATTTTAAATCTTAACTAAATTTGGTAAAATACATTCCAGTTACTATAGCTGTGTAATAAATATCAGAAAAATCATTTGTAAAATATCGTATTGTAACAGTTCGTTGTTAACTTTTTGAGATAAAGACTACTTTGAGGAAGTATCATATACTCCGATTGTGAAGTGAAGTAGAATTGACTTATTGTTATTTCGAGTCGCAGCAAAAGTATGCATTTACGGTTGGGGTATTGGCAGATCCAAACATATATGACATAATATATTGATAAAACTAGGTGGGTACCAGTCTCTTTCGATAAATTTAATTCTCAGGATAAAAATTTGTTGAAATTTATGTTCTTAGAATTAAATTTTCCAGACCACAGATCAGATGTATCATGGCAGGTCGGTACAAGAAAAGGCTATCGAAACGCATAGGCAGTTCTAACTTCATTTCTTGGTCCCATAATGTAAACAAATTCTTCGCACGTTGTAAAGTTACTTTACGTTCGCTTCTTCACCGATTTGATTCAATGCACTGACATTTGTTAAATGTGGCTAACATAATAGACAATAAGCCTCACATGCCCCCCATGTAACCAAAAATGTATGTAAAAAGACAAAGATTTTAACTCGTGAAATGTGTATTAGATGTACTAGGTTCGTCCTCATTTATTTCTCTTAGTAATTGTGAGTTGGAGATAGATAGATAGTGATGTTTTTTAAATTGTTAATACTCTATTCCAGTCGATCAAATGCCATTTCACTTAGGCCATCGGTAAATCCTAATTTAATATTAAAAGTAGGAAAGAATGATTTGCGATCTTATATCGAAGCTGAGCCAAATCATACCTTTAGCGGAATTGGAGGTCGCAATCAGTTTTATTTATGACGTGGTTTTTGTTACTGTATATCTTCAGGGCCTTTAAACGAACAAATGAAGTAAGATAATTTATAAATCACAGTTTCATATAGTTCTTGTATCAATAAATTGGAAAACGCTTATGCTTAAAAGCAAATAAGCCAAAATAGCTACAAATATTGTGTCTCCAATTTAGATTTAAGAAAATTGCACCAAAAACATATGAAGAGCTTAAAGAGTAAGAAGGAGTGTAACTTAGAAATAGATTTGAATTTGAACTCGAACTTTCTGTTAAAGTTCATTAAGTAGCATTTAATATATTACATGTATCGTTACGTTTTGTATTAAATTATTCATTTTATTCGAGGATCATTGATGTATATTTAAATTATTTCTTAAACAGATCTGCAAAGTCGAATAAGTTCTATCATTTTTTGCTATTTACGTTATGTATAGACCCTTCCTTCCTTAGTTACAAAGTATATATGTAAAAACATGCAATGTATAATTTATCATTAAATGTAATTTAAATGTTATTTGAATATATCCTACATAATGTTTAGCAAAAAATAATTGTTTTAATTTAAAAGCCTTAAATTTGCAAAAGTAAAGCAACACCAGCCAAAGTCCACTTCGCTGGCTTGTCTTTTGTTTTCAAGTTGAATGTCCAAACGTATGTGGGCCCTCTCGTTTTGGTTTTGTAAACAGGACACTCGTACATATTTCTCAAATCTTGTTTATCTTGAGTAATCGCCTTTATGTTCATAACAGGCATTGCGGGATGCAATTCTTTGAGTTTCGAATCCATGATAATGCCTGCTTGAACGTCCCATCGTGCTCCTTCCATATGAAGTCCATGGACATAGGCGCCGTCTCTTGGTGCACTCCTGCCAGGCACCACATTTTCAACCAGAACATTGAAATTTTCTTATGTGTAAACTTACGTAAACTCCTCTTTCTGTTTCTTCGTCACATCGCACTGCAGACACATTTTGTCAAGAGGCAACTCATTTCTCCGAGCGGTACTTTGCATTATCGCCGTTAAAAGTGACTGTGGATTAAAAAAACCACCCAACCAAACCGACGCTGGCAGCTACGAAAAATTATCAGTCCAACACGGTTGGTGCGTACGGATCTCAATTACCAACCACAAAATCTGTAGACCACGTTTCTAATTCTCTTATTCTCAGCAAAAGGTCGACAAACCAAGAGGTAAGTCCCAAAAGCGAAGGATAAGCTCTTTGCTCCCAAGCAGGGGGAACTTGGTCCAAGAAAATCGCCGTCTCAAGGTCTTCCATATCCGATGTGATGGTTAGTTCGCCTTTGAGACCCAGTTCGAGTTCCTTCAAGGTCTGCTTCATTTTTCCGGTCAGAAGATTCATTCGCTCACACTCTTGGAATGCTACTATTACGTAAGGAGTTCGTTCCTCCACCTTTCCCATTATCTCGATCATGTTGAAGTCTTCTGGCAGTTTTTCCAGCATTTCATCTACTGTTTGCTTGACCTGGAGCAACCCACAATAGAGGATTGCTGAAGTGCATGCATCTACAATACCTTTTCTTCTCTAGTAACAGTAGTTCCGCCTGAAGTTCCAGCATCTCTGGGCTGCATCTCAAAAACAGTCCTAAACAGCTTATCAGCAGTGGTTGTTAGGAATCCGATTTCCGCATTAGGGTGCAGGCCGTATAAATAAGGCGACTCTGGAGGTAAAGCCTCATCAATGTAATTCAGGTACCCTTGGTAATCAGTGTTTGGAGGCGCTGGGAAGCCTGGAGTGAGCATCAGTTCACCATCGACCTAGAACAAAACTCTCAAATGAAAGAGTTTTTTTCAATAGTTTCATATTGGGGTACCAGCTCGGGCTGTAGAATTTCCTCTAAATAGGTGATGCATAGTCTTCTATCCCAATCATCAGTAATATGTCCGCCGTACATAATTTCCCCAAAAAGGTACCTCAAGTCCTCCCAAGGTACTTTGGAATTGGCCTCCAAGTAGTTGTATAAAACAAACACGCTAATAGTAAGGTCACCTACATTAAACGGGTATATTTTGTTCCACCCCTGTGGGCCGAATTTCCTCCTCTCCGCTACAACGGCGTGGAAGTAGCACAGTGAAAATAGAATTACTTTAAATTCGGCTTCTTTTCCACATTGTTCCAACGTTTCTTGATTGAAATTTGAAAAGGCTTTGTGAATGTTTGCTTGCATGCCAGTTGGAGGCTCGTTGGTGATTTTTATGGATGACTCCAATATCCCCTAATATTCAGCAGAAGGGTATTTTTTCAGTATCGGTTTTGTACTTTACCTGCGGAATTATGTGTCCGGAAGCAGAAGACGCGGGTTCAGCGCTCATAAAAACTCTATAGTCTGGGTGAGAGCCTTGTGCATGTTTTTCCAAGTGTTTCTCTAAAGAGGGCAACCATTTTTTCACCAAGTGAATGTTCTGAAGAACCACCCAATGCCCTTGCTTTGCTGCAATTTCCATTGCTTTTTCTGCCACAGATTCCTGTCCCTGTCCCAGGGAAACATTGTGAAAATTCAGTTTTTCCGAAGTGAATCCTAGTGTTTCGCCCAATTGTTCAACGTCTTTCAACGGATTCACTCCTGGGGATAAGATGAAGAATATTGGGGTCGATGGACTAGTTTCTTCGTATGACTTCGAAAACTGCATTGTTTTATTTCCTACGTATTTTGCTCCCAATTTTTCTTCAATAAACGCACTAGAAATAACTTCGTTTGGCTAGCGCTTCCGGAATTTAACTTCACTTACAGCATGGCATATAACATTCTGTCGGGGCGCAAGGCTCTCATCATACAAAGCCTCTGTAGGGCAGTCTTGCTTTTCCATTCCTGTGGGAACTTTTCTCTTTCTGGACATTCACATTCAATCAATTTTTTCCATCTTTTAGGCGAATTTTCGATATCCCTATCCAGATTTCTGAATTCGTCTCGTGTTGCCAGGCTGCAAATGCCTCCCCAGCAGGTGTTGGAGAGAAAGTCTACCGGACTTGTCACGTGGGGCTTAATGGGGAATCTTAAAAGGAAGTCCAAGTCCGCCGTGAAAATTTCTCGACTCATCAGAAGGATCTGTATTGAATAAAAATATATATCTGGTTTAAAATGTTGTTCATGAGATTACCTGGAAGGTCATTTGGGAAGTGAAAATTAACTTATCGCTTTCAAATAACCCGCGAGTCGTGTATTGGAATACTGAAAATGAAATGCAGTCTATAAGATTGTTCACCCTAGCAGACACTGTTTCTGCTGGATCTGCCTTCGCAATGGCCTTTTGAAATACCACGTTGAAAGCCTAGAAAATGTAGAATATTTTACATTTAGGAATGTTTTCCGGGCTTTGAAGCCGTGGTCTATCGGAATTTCTTCCTGACGTTTCGTCCACAACTGCGGTGGACATTTTCAAAGGCGATGAGGCAGTGGGCGAAGTGATCTCCCGTGCTTTCCGACTAAGACTGGTCGGAAGACCACGGCTTCATAGCCCGGAAAACATTCCTAAATGTAATCGCGTTTATGTATGTGCTTAAATTTAAGTTACTCACCCGCATTGGAAAACTGTGGAGAACTTCTTTGCTGCCTGGAGCTCTGCAGTTTTTGCTTTAAAACGAGCAACTCCTGCTCAAGTCTTGCGTTGCCTGCAACGGTTTCTTCAAGTTTTTTCGAGTTCTGCGCCAACATCAAGTGGACTCTGCTGAGCTCATTTTCGAGCATAAACTGCTGCCTTCGCGCTTGCTCGATTTCTTCAGGATTGTTCAAACCCTTCAGTAGACGGTTCCGAAGGCCCCCAAGTGCTCGTTCGATGTCTTCTTTGTCTCGTTGAAGATTGTGAAGGTTTCGAGATTCTTCTTGAATCAAACCGTCTAGTTGGTACAGTTGACGCACTTTTTGTTGAAGTTGTACATGGCTTGGCTCGATTCTGTTCCAGTCTCGTTTTTCGTCTGCTAGAAGTCGTCGCTCCTGCACATACTGGTTGAATTCGAGTTTTTCGCGGATATGCCTGGCAATGTCAGTTCTCTCATTAGGGTTTCTGTAGAGCGATCCTAGCTTTACCATGTTGTCTACTAGGTTTACCAATGGTTTGCGCTTCTCATATTGCTTTTCCAACTCCAGAAGGTTTTGTTTGATTCGCTCCAATTTATGCAGATTTTCCATTCGTTTCATTTGGTCAACATTATGAATGTGGATCTGAAAAAAGTGTGCTGATGTTGGACATTGATATGAAGGTTGATTAGAACTAGATTGAACAAGCAGCCCACGTTGTTAGCGGCACGAAAAGACATGTTAGACTCCACCATGTTCAAGCTGACCAGGATCAGTTTAGGAAGATTGCTGGTTGAAAAAAAGTATCATCAAACCTGAAGACTATCAATTTCGTTATAGCAACTTTCGATAGCCTGAAATGTTTGCGCCTGCTGCCTACGCAATTGGATTAGAAGTAATACTAGTTCCTCATGAGTTCTTCCAAGAAGTTCACCGGCTGATACGTTCATTTTGGTTTTAGGAATTAATTCCTTAAAATTGCATTTACATCAGTATTGTTTAGTTTATAAATAGGATCAATTTTTCAATTATTGCATGGTCCATACTTACATTTTGTGATGTCCTAAATTCTTGATCACGCTCGTACATGCACTGAGGTTGATTACGGGATGAGTAATTTGATCTTATAAATTAAAAATACGTTATTGAGACATTTGTTTTTTATATGCGACTTACATATTGTCATATTTATAAGCTGTTCGGTCTAGATTTGTTACACTTCTGGCTTGCATAGTTTGGATCGTAGGAGTGACGCACCCTTTCGCATTCACTACTCTTGGAAAAGTGTCTCTTCCTAGAGCAGCGTCTTTCGTGCTTATTGATATTGACCCAGAAGCTATAAGAACAGATGAATTTGACATTCACATTAAAATTTGCAACTGCTTCATTTAGGACCAGAGCTTCAAACGTATTTACAAGCACTTTACAAAGTCTGAAATATTAT